TTTGATTTAGATTTTTTTTTATTTTGTATTTAATAGGTTGAAGAAAATGGATGTAAAAACTTGCCAAACGCTTCCTATTTGCAATGAATCTTTCAAAGCGCCACAAATATCGATAGAGGCTCGTGCACACCTTCTCAAGCTGTAGTTGAGTGGTTGGCGCAGTAAGACGCAACTGATAAGTCATTACGTGAACGACCCTGCTGCGATGAAACCACCTTGCGAAAATTGAAATGCGATCGAATAAATGAGTTTGTATAACCTTGAAAAACTCACTTCAACCTTCAAAAACAAATTAGGCTAAGCATAAATTAACCGAACAGTATTAACTCTTTTTAAGCCTCAAGCCCTGCCCATTTTATGGGTATTTTTAAACTTATTTTTTTATGTCAACCATTAAGCCCTAAAGCTTTACTCATGGGTTTTTAAAAGCGTCTGCTAGAGTTCTATTCAGCAATATATCTTTAAAACACACCCCTCGAAAAAAAAATTGGACTTTGAGATATTCTGTGTACAGTAAAGGGTTAATAATTAATTCCTAATTAATTAATTTTTTCTTCAACGTTTTCGTCAAGTTTTTCCTAACATAACAATACCAAAACGACTATTATAGCATAAATGGTTATTACTCTGAAATTCACAATTGTATTTACAGTATTGTCAAGTTCAAGGTCAAATTACCGATACTGATGACGTCACAGCTCCTATTATTACTGTCCAGACCACCCCCAATGCAAAAAAATTAAATTTTTCGACGGAAATGCGCGTAGAACGGCGTAAACAATCTCATACGCGCATTTACGCGTTAAAATTACCATTAATTTTACGTTTTTTTACATACAAAAAATCTCCATACCTCTGCCAACTATGGAGCATTCGAAATCATATTTATCAAAACAACACAGCGCCAGGGATGGTCAGGGATAGTTAGTATGACTGAAAATACATGCTAAAACAATAATAATTCGTTATAAAGGAGTATTTCCTGTCTGAGCTGAGTCACATTTTTTAGACGTCTGACAGGTGATTTTGAAATCCAGGATATTTATACGATTCGCACTTTGCGTCACGGCTGGAAAGTTTTATCGCTTCTCTCATATCAGGGCATTACGTCGATAAACAGCTAAGAGCGATATTGACGCTATAAGTACCGAAATTTAAAAACTATAAAAAAGTAGAGCGTTCCGGCTGTAGAAAGGTTTTAACCGTAACAATGACTTCATTTTATGAGAAAAATGTCAATACAGGACCTCGAAATCCATATTATGGCGTCATAATAGATTAGTTGTGGCGTCTTTGCATCAGAGGACTCTTACGATTAACATAGGCTAGGTTAGGGTGTCTCATCGTTCATATCCGTAGATTACCGCCGATATAAGTAGGATAAATTTGAGTTGGGTTGCGCGAGACTAACTTCCTATCTTTTCTCTATGCCTTTATGCTAGTGGATCCGTATGCGTATACTGCAAGGATACTGTAGCTGGAATAAACATGACTATTCTATTCAATTAAAGAGTCCAGCTGCACACTAACACAAATGTATTTCTGTAACGTTTCGTCCGACCAGAGTCAGACTTCCTCAGACAAGCAGTTTACAACAATCAATTTGTTGTAAACTGCTTGTCTGAGGAAGTCTGACTCTGGTCGGACGAAACGTTACAGAAATACATCTGTGTTGATGTGCAGCTGGACTCTTTAATTGAATATGATATAAGTAGGGTTTTGTTTTTTATTAACTCTAAAAAAAAACATCGTGTTTTAAAACAAGGGCTTGTTTTAAATCAATTTTTTTCTGTATTTTTTATTGAAATACCCCTCGCATCGCCGCAAAACTAAGCCAAAACGTTGCATTCTGGCAGCTGCACACGCAGCTAGGATTATAATTTAAAAAATGTAGTAAAAGTTTTTATTTGGACTTTTACCTCTATTGCGTACAATCATCGCCACGTTTGTATTTCCACCAAAGTCATAAGATTTTACCCGGAATGTTTAGCCGAGATATCAGAGAGATGTTTTGAGAAAGAAAAATTGACATATATATTGACATTTTTCCCATAAAATGAAGGCAATATTATGGTTAATACTGTTCAGTTAATTTATGATTAGCATACTTTGTTTTTAAGGTTGAAGTGATAGAGTTTTTCAGAGTTATACAAACAAATTTATTCGATCGCATTTCAATTTTCGCAAGGTGGTTTCATCGCAGTAGGGTCGTTCACGTAATGGCTTATCAGATGCGTCTTACTGCGCCAACCACTGAACTGCAGCTTGAGAAGGTGTGCATGAGCCTCTATCAATATTTGTGGCGTTTTAAAAGATTTATTGCAAATAAGAAGCGCTTGGCAAGTTTTTACATCCATTTTTTTTTCAACCTATCTATTACAAAAAAATCAAATAGTACAGCCATTTTGAACAAAACAGGCAAAAAAAATTGTTTTAAAACATTTCTTTTTGAACAAATCCCTAGATATAAGCATATTCTTCATTATCGCAATCCACTCGTTTTGCCGAAGGGCTGCACTTGATCTAATTGCTTTTGTAGTAGGCTCGTGAGCTAATTTTCATGATTTATTTTTACCCAAAACGTCTCTCTGATATCTCGGCTAAACATTCCGGGTAAAATCTTATGACTTTGGTGGAGATATAAAGTGGCGATAAATGTACGCAATAGTGGTAAGAGTCAAAATAAAAAATTTTACTTACATTTTTGAAATTATATTTCCGGCTGCGTGTGCAGCTGCCAGAATGCAACGTTTTGGCGTAGTTTCGCGGCGATGCAAGGGGTATTTTAATAAAAAATACAGAAAAAAATTGATTCAAAACAAGCCCTTGTTTTAAAACACGATGTATTTTTTAGAATTGATGAAAAACAAAACCCTATTCGTGACAGAGCACAAGCATTACTAATACGTAGGGAGTAAGTTGACCATTTATTTGTTTCAATCAAATGAGTTATTTGTGAATAAATCATTGAGCGTCCTACCAGCTACGTACTACTCTATGCAAATAATATAAAAGTTAGATCAAAGTTATGCCTATTTATGCTCATGGATTATGCCATGATAGGATAGGATAAGATTTACATATTTATCCCAGGGGAGAGGAAAGCCGACAAGACGGCTTATCCATATGGCGAACCACGGCCTCTCGTCCGGTTACCATTCCAAGTCGGGTATGGGATTAGGTTTTTACTGTATTGTTTGTTTTCGGAAGCATGGACTTGGTGGTGGAGGAAGCCGTAACCGACCAGCGGTTACGTGAACCACACAACGACGGCGAGGAGTCCAGCAATCCTCTCGCACATAACCATCCCTGCATGGGATTCGAACCTGCGAACCCACGCAGAGTAATTAGAGGTGCGGTGGCGAGCGTATTCCTAAAGCTTAGCCCGTTGAGCCACACCGCCGCGCCGCGAGGAATGATGTCCGATATACGCCAAATGAAAATTTGCTGATACAGATACAAGAGTGTCACATTTCGGTAAAGAGATGCCATTTTGAAGGGACCTGAATTTCTGGGTCGGCCTTGCTTTGAATCCAAGATATTGAGCCTAGGACGCTAACAAAGTTAAATCTCGGCTTACCATACGTCCTGTTTTAAGTGGGACAGTCTCAGCTCGAGGAACCCCTGTGCGATTGACAATATGATTTATATTTGTCATCATAAAATAGGACGATCAAAAATGTGATTCTACAAATTGACGCGGAGCACCTGAAAAACTTTCACGAAACACTAGTGAAACAGACATATAATATTAATTATATTAAAACGATCATTTTCAAACAATATACATATAATAATATAGACTCGTCAATTTGAATGGAAACATGTGGGAACCCATGGACTGAGATGACGGTACCCTGAGCTGACCTAATCGCAAAACCACCGATTTCCACTCATCTTGAAAACAAATCAATGCTGCAAAACTACATACAGTTCGAGCAAGCTTTAAATTTGCTATTAAATTGGAAACTTTTTCACATAAATCTTCGCCTCAAAGTTCGTTGACAAACAATTTAAAATCTTGATTAGTAGGGCCAACCACAGAAACTAGCTAGGTTACCCGGATGCATGGTAGGGCTCTAATCGACGCTCCCAAAGTATGTGCACCAAGATGGCGCACAATCTGAACCCCAACCGGGTACACATACTATGTTCAGGTTGTGCACATACTTCTGGAGATCCCCCTATTCTACGACCTCGGTATAGCTTAGTATAGTTAATTTCAACCAAGTACCCCGTTGCCAAGTTGTTAACCATTTTTTTATGGTTATACCCGCACAGAGTGTAATAAATAAAGTAGGCAGTAAGGAGTCAGTTACGTTATTTAGAAAGTACGAGTGCTCGCGTATGCAGTGCCTTGTTTGTAGAGACGACGTCGATACGACAGATCGGTAGACAAAAGGATCTTTTGTACAAAACTCCGCCACTAATACAAAAATGTGAGATTTGTGAAAAGCTTCCCTGCCTCGTTGGATAATTACTAATTCTCCTATTTTGATCGTTGGTGGGGGAGTTTTTTGGCGGGAGCTTTGTACAAAAGATTCAGAAAAATAATAATAATAGAACAACAACAAAATAAGGCGCTCCCGAGGTATGTGCACCAAGATGGCGCACAACCTCAACCCTAACCTGGTACACATACTAAGTTCGGGTGTGCGCCATCTTGGTGCACATACTTCTGGAGGTCCAAAAATAATTCCATTGGCCTGCTTCATACATCTCCAAGCACGGCGTATCTGAAATTTCCTGAATGGATCAAATTTTTGATGTGACGAACCGAATGTTTCAAATCATAGCGCTGTACAAAACCCCAGTCGCAAATGACGGTACTCCCATTTTTATGACCAATATATACCATGTCCGTAAAGTCGCGTAATCTTTACGCTGCCTCAAACAGTTAAAAGTTAACGGTTTGGCGAATAAATATCCGTTTATGATTGTAAAACACGAATTCGTCTCCCACTCTAACTCTTCATGATAGAAAGGAAAGAACACCAAGATTGGAAATTGTGTCTATTTATTCCACGTGAAATTTAGTCTGAAATATTGTTCTAGCTATAAAAACTATCCAACACCCAACTTGTATATTACGGAATATTTTTTATCCAGGCAGAGAGGTATGTGACAAGACGACTAAATTATATGACATCTAATAGTCGTTTCAAACCAGTAGCAACGGGGACTTCTTCGATTCATTTCAATGTGTAGACTTCATCTTGATACGACAAGAAAACTTGTTTCGGCCAATATATTGATTTTGCCATTATCTGTCGAAAGATATTCATAGTTCCAATTGGTTTGTATATTCATATTCCGGGAACTGTTAACTTTCAATTTATTGTTCTTGTTCCTGAAAATAAAGTAATTTATTAGATAATAATATTTTTATCGGATATTTTTAGACCACTGCTTCGAACAAGGCCCTGTTTAAACAGTAACCGGGTACGTTAGGCCAGAGTCGTCCAACCCGTGGCCCGCGGGCCACATGTGGCCCGCCGAGAAGTTTCGAGTGGCCCGCGCTGTATTTTCGAAATTAAATAAAAAAAATTGAGTAAAACTTCTATTTTTCGGGTGATGTAGTTAATATGAAGATTTGATACAATGATACCCTTTCAAACGAGCCATGAGTGCCATCACCAACTGGAAGATATCGATACATAAATAGTAGCTCACACACTTGGGCAGAATGGCAGTTTCAATGACCTCATAATTTGGCAGCACGTACTCGTACAAGCAAGTTTTTTCTCAGATGAACCATGTTAAATCCCCTGTGAGATCACTAATTTCTGACAGTAATATGGAAAATTCGCTTCGCATTGACAAACTTGTTAGCAAAAAACAGTGCCAAACTTCACACTAAAATGTCTACGGGTAGAAAAAACTTTGTTGACTTTACTGTATCTTCGTTTTTTTATTGTTCTTATTATTGAGAAAGTTTGGTGCGAGGGTTTTGTTTGTTTTTTCATTAACTTTTGGTCAGTGTAGCAAAACTAGATCATAATTACCATGTTAAGTGGCCCGCGCAATTATTAGTAAACTAAATGTGGCCCGTCGGCCAAAAAGGTTGGCCGACCCTGCGTTAGGCCAAGGTTTCTCAATTTCTTTGGGGCCAGGGATCCCTGTTTGTGAATCATATTTTGACGGGCCCCCATCCTATGTCGTATCAATTTCTGTTCTTAACAAACGAGCAATTATATAATGTAATATATAATAATAAATTTCTATGATGAAATAGAACTCATAAAAGTCTGAAACAATACATACTAACGTTAAATACTTATAGACTAACGGCAATTCGATAATATTAAGATCTATTTGTATATGTTTCAGACTTATTTCATATCGTTGCCTACCCCCCTGTGCAGCCATCACAGACTCCAGTTTGAAAGAAACTCTGCGTTAGGATTATATTATTACAGTATGAATTGAAATCTTTCCGATTCATTATTAGTAGCACCCTTGTGGGGCATCGAGCTCTTTATCTTTCCCTTGACAATGAACCTGAACTTGAAATCTCACCTTTGAACCCAAACTACAAGCGGAAATACAATCCACGCCCTTTCACGGATATGTAAATCTCACTCATTGAAACCTAAGTCACACCTGAAATTAAATTCTCACCCTTGAACTTAAACTATGCTCGGAAACAAAAATTCCACGTTTGAACTTAACCCGGATATGAAAAATCTCACCTTTGAACCTAAATTAATTCTTGAGTGATGAGGACAACGATAGCGATTCCGACCAGAAGGAGAAAGATCAGGATGTAAAATGCAACGATGTATAGGTTGAGACGGGGCCGAACTTCTTCGTAATTAGGTAATAGGTCCTTAGTTTCGGGATCTTTTGTTTTAATTTCCATTATTGAGCTAGAGTTATATTTATGCTGAAAATACAGATTTTTATGTTTTTATATACAGGATGGTCTCAAAAAAAAAGAAATTTATTTTCACAAAGCATAACTTTTACAAAAGGTTTTAAAAGGCATATGCTATATTACACTCATAGATGCTCAAAATGTCGTCGTGTACTTTAGAGCAGTGTCTTAATTTACGAGTCCAAGCGAGTCTCGTGTGGGATATCGTTCCAAGCTTTTCCCAAGATCGTTTTCAAATCTACATTAGAAAAACAAGAGAGCTATGCTCAAATATATGGACACGTAGCGCCACCCAGTGGCAATAATTTTGATGACGTCATACTTCTGGAGAAAAATTTTATCTTTAACCACTGAAAATATCAAAGCAATTGGTCCAGTATTCGAAGAGAAAAGCGATTTTTTAAAAATGGAGACGGAGACAAATAACAATAACAATAACAACAAAATTTTGAAACGATCGTTATGGCCACTAAACGTGTCCAATAAATAGTGGTTTTCAAACATTCTGGTTTTCTACCGAGTTCATCATGAGCAGTTCGCATTGAATGCATTTCGTACAAATATTAATCACACAATATAGGAAATATAAAACAAATGTTTTCTGGAATAATAATAATTTTCAAGTCCCATTTTTGACAAAACGGTTATTTTTATGCCCACTTTTCGAGCCTTATCTGACGCTCCATTAGCTGACCTTTCAAATAGCTATTCACTCTTTACACTTAACACGATACACTTAACACGGAAATACAGGGTGTCCATAAAGTCTTAAAATTGCAAATGGAATTTATCGATACCATATATTGTCTTGGCCCTCACAGATATATTCAATGAATTAAAAATACTTCAACAATTACTGATTTAAATACAACAAACCTGTTTAACATATATTGAGAACTGGCATCATAACAAAATTGTAAAGCAACCCTATGAACACTCTGTACTTTGCGACCGAATTTAAACATCGGCGTTAATATCCTCATTCGAATGAGATACGGAAGTCTAAGATGAATCGTAGCTTAAAACCCGGTGACTTGAATGGGGCAGCACCTGGGTAGGGATCCTAAAAAATTTGGGGTTGTATTCGAAGTGTTTTCAAGAGGCCATTAATATTATGCAGTATTACATCATGAATTATAACGTCATTACTTATCGATTTTAATCGGTAAGTATGTTGATAGGTATTTGTCTGTCTGTCTGTTAGATGCACGCGATATCTCACAAAAGCGAGATGGAATCTGCTCCAGATTTTGCATGTGCATTCATCTTATCTCGGACCAGAAGCCTATTGATATTGGGCGATTTATGTCGTATAATTAGCGAGTTATCAATCAATTATTGATATAGTGATCTAGATTTTTGTGAAGCGAGAGAATTTTGAGACCCGCCGAATGTGTGTGTGCGATGCGCAGTGCGCAAGTTACAAGAGCGGATGAATCGAAACTGCAGTTTCTATTTTGGGGGATCCCCTAACTATCGATCGATAAGTCTTCGGTTTCCAACCGATATTCTCGTAATATTACTTATCGATTTTAATCGATGAGTGCTGTATGTTGATAGGTATTTGTCTGTCTGTTAGATGCACGCGATATCTCACGAAAGCGAGATTGAATCTGCTCCAGATTTTGCATGTGGATTCATCATATGTCGGGCCAGGAGCCTATTGATTTTGGATGATTTATGTCGTATAATTAGCGAGTTAATAATTAATTAGTGATGGGACACAAGGTGTCACTATAGAGTAAGAGCGCTGTTTTGGGGGATTCCCTAACTTTCGATCGATAAGTCTTCGGTCTCTGACCGATATTCTCGTTATAAGTTTAATGAGTCTGAATCGGAAAAAATATGGTTCCTACATGCATTGTTTTGGCTATTCTAGAAGTTCTATCGACCGCATCCATTTGTTGTTTCAATGTATAACTTGCAATGTAGATCGATTAATTTCAAATTTCAGATAAATTTCATTCGTCCTTTGACTAGATAAATTCCAAAAGATTGAGTATTCTTCTGTATGCGAAGGATTTTTTTCCTTTCGACTAGTCTCTTGCCAGTATTGACTTGAATAGGTGCCTGATATCCACAAATTATTAAATGCACTTTTTATATTATTCTTCTAATTAATGATTTCCAAACAAGAATATCAGTCGGAGACCGAAGACTTATCGATTGAAATTTAGGGGATCCCCTAAAACAGAAACTGCGGTTTCGATTCATCCGCTCTTACTCCATAGCGACACCGCGTGTCCCCTCACTAATTAATTAATAAATCGCTAATTATAGGACATAATTCATCCGAAATCAATAGGCTCCTGATATGATGAATGCACATGCAAAATTTGGAACAGATTCAACCTCGCTTTCGTGAGATATCGCGTTAACATACGAAAGTGAAACAAACAAACAGACAAATATCTATCAACATACTTACCGAACTTAAGATCGATAAGTAATAAGTAGGTAGTAGCTAATGTATGAAAAGGAAAATTCATTTGGAAATGGCCTATAACGCTTGTTTTTTACCGACCATTAGGATTTACACAGCATCAAGTAGTTGCCAGTGGTCGTGGCAATATCTAGATCAGATATCTAGTTGCTTTTAGGTACGATTTAGAGACTTGATTTCGGCAACTTCCATGAAATAATTATCTGCTACTGTTCGGATGTTGCTCCATATCTAACACAGACATCAAACTTAGGACACAACTGACCATTATTCTCTGAGGTAACTAACTAAATATACTCAATCAATATAGCCCGGACATGAACGAAGTACGGCTCGCGGGCCAAATCAGGCCCGCTTGGTAATTCAGTCTGGTCCATGTGATAGCCAAACTAAAACCAAATTTTGATGTTTCAGCTAACAAATAGCTCAAAGAATTCGTTGAGATTGCGATTAAATTTAGTTTAGGCACAAGGCTCATTGTTTTCCACTTTTGCATTTGTAACACTGTAAATATTGTTCATAAATTGTAACTTTTCACGTCACGCTTAAATGGCCCGCCAGTCTAGGTGGTCGAAATTGTTGGCCCCTGTTCTGAAATCTTCGCCCACCCCTGTAACATAGTTGCTACACATAACCGCAATAACACGAAAATTACGACACGCCCGTATTTATGACCATTCCGTATATTCTCTTGGATTGTAAAAAGTTAACTGTTTAACAAATACATGTCAACGGTTATTAAAAGACGATTGGCCATCTCTGATCGCGGATGCGGAGCTCAATCGGTAAAACGGAAATATATACTTTTATGTATTATAGCCTTGCTGATTCTATAAGTCTTAAATTAATTAAACTAAGTGTAATACATTAAATAGGCTAGCGTGCGCATGACCCATAAGTTTATTTGGAATTCATACATGGGCCATAAGTACCAAAGCTCACATTTTCAGTATTAGTATGAGCAAGCTGTATACGGCCCACACATGACAAATAAATTCCCCGCATCTCACATAACAAAAATGCTTCCATTATATCATTTCATCACATTTCTTTTATGTATTTCCACACACATAACCAAAGTATTTTTCAATATTTTTATGAGCAATAAATTCGATGGCAACGCATTTTATGAAATTTTTTACGGTGTTTTAAACAATAAATTTTACAATAGGAAATCATGAAAAGAACTAAATAAATGACTGTAGTATACCAGTAGAAAAAGATCGGGATACAAAACCTCATAAACAGTGGAAAAAGCAAGCGGCCATAAAGTGAGAAATACTCAATATGGATTATCAAATTTTTTTTTCGATTTTAATGATGACTTTTCGCATTAGTTAAGCCAGCGCTTTCCTTCATAGAGGATTTTTGGGACCTCCTGAAGTATGCGCACCAAAAAGGCGCACAACCTGAACTTGTGTACCAGGTTATGATTCAGGTTGTGCGACATCTTGATGCGCATACTTCAGGAGTACCGATTTTTGGGTGCTCCCGAAGTATGCGAACCAAGATGGCGGACATCGGAACGTAACATGGGTAACAGGTTAGGGTTAGGCGATAATTTTTTTCCAATTTTTCTTATTTTAGTCCTATTATCAGTTCGAAGACTAGCCAAGAGCCTCCCGTAGTATTTATACCTAAAATTATGGCCTAACCCTAACCTAGTACACATATTACATTCCGATGTCCGCCATCTTGGTTCGCATACTTCGGGAGCCCCGATTTTTGTCTTTCTTGAGAAGGAATGTTTCTTAGCAGTTGCTGGGTACAACTACTAATATTTTTGAAATAAAGTTTCAAAATGGGGCAACGGGAGGAATTTAACGACAAACTTTAGAAACCGATATTTCCACTCTTGTACGAGCGTTCACTAATACACTATTTTTGGAAGAATTCTATTGCCTGCAATCTTATCTTGTGACATAGAATATACCAGGTCCTGCCTTCTATGATAATACCTCGATAACACGATTCTCACTGTGAGAACGTAAAATGATTCACTCTTTAAAACATCGCGAAATATTTATTCCTAATCTAAGCGTGTCAGCTAAATAGGGTTGAGCATTAGGGTTCACAAACAATTATGTACATCGAGAACATTTCCGCGAAAGTTTAAGAAAACAGTCCAGTTGCACGTATTGTGCAGTTCAAAGCAACGAGTTAGCATCCTCCCTATCAGTGATTGTCTTGTTGTCCAGACCCTTGTTCTACGTGGTGGATTAAAAATCAAATGAGAGAGCAGTAACAAATAGCGATTTTCGTCTTAAATATATACCCTTGAATCTATTTGCGAGAGAAATATGAAAAATTGTGGGATCTTTCGTACCAAGGCCCCGCCAGTAATGCAAAACTGTGAGAATTGAGAGCAACCCACCCGCCACATTTTTAAATAACAAATCAGTAAATATCCAGTAAAGGTAAGGATTGATTTAAAAATTCGAATTTTCAGTATAATCTGCATTCCTAACCCTAATCGTATAATTAATAATATAACTTATTTTAAGCGTTAGCGAGTGCTTTGTACAAAAGATCGGGATTCTATTGCTTGCAATCTCACCTCGTAACATAGAATATACCAGCACCTGCCTTCCATAAGAA